TGAGGTTAGTGAAACTGATGAAAGGAAAATTATGAAAGGAGGTTTTCGAACTAATTTTGCCTTTCTTCTTTTCATTGAAGCAATGGACTATACAAAGTAATCTGCCTTGAGAAGATTGAGATGGATTGCTGTGTTACTCTGCCTACCTACCGCACCAGACCTTTTCTGATGAAACAAATACCTAGAACTGCAATCTCACTTTGGTCTCTGTTTAAACTGCATGTTTCTGTACTGTTAAGCAGCACAGGGTTTCAAGAACTGCCAGAAAGACATCAGGATACATGGATGTTACAGACTTCTAAAAATGTTGGATAAGACACTTAGAAGCTTAAGTCCCAACCCTTAAGTCCCCTTAGTAGGACTTAGATTACTTAGGCACTTCTGAAAAATGGGATAAAATTAATAAAAAAAAAAGTTTTTGCCCCAAGTGAAAAACAAATCTGTAGCATGGTTTATGGTTAGTTTTAATGTTGGTGATGTGACATACTTGGAGCCAGACACAGTACCAGCAAATATCTACTACTGCATTTTGACAGGACCTTGATTCTGCATGTTCAAAGCAACAGCAGCTTGTAGGCTGCTGTAACTTAAGCTCTGCACTGACTTACTGACTTACACATTTTAATGCATTCCCTAACTGCAAAATATCTTATGACTTACTTCAATGAAAGACAGCATGCCAGAAAAATCTATGCTTTGCCTGCTATGATGACAGGTCAGAAGGGCAGACAATATATCAAATAAAGGGACTGCTGCTTCAGCTACCAGGTTGTATGCAACCAGAAGCACTGCACTGCACCAGTAATTGGGCACCAGGGATCTCTGAAATACTAATTATTAGAATAACTAAAGCAGCATGTGACTAACCAGGCACTGCTGTGCATACCATGAAATAAATGTATGTACCACTTTGGGAACTTAAACTTGATCAAAATAAGATGAGTAATTTTTGTTTCCCAAAAGATCAAAAAGCACTAGGAACGCAGGAAACACACCTTTTTACCAGCAAGAATTATCTTGCATCCTTCTGCTTATGGTGGTTTTCCTAAAATTCTCATTACCGCGCTTAGAGAAAGCAATAGGTTTCCCCATTATCATCACATTCTTGTATTTCATACAGCAGTACAAATGTAGGTATCCTAAAAAGACTAAGTAGTCTATATACAGTTTTTAGCAATGTGCCCAAATGGATAGTTTTATGTATTTTCACTGACCAGGACACAGCCATGTTTAGTAAGTGTGTCTCTGACCACTAAGAATTTTCTTAATCATACATTTAAGAGGTTTTCATTACTTACGTCCATTTTGTTCTTAGTGACAACAGAGTAATTGCTCAAACTTAAGTTTCTGCTTTCTTCATCTCCTTAATGCATGCAGTAGAAGAACCTGACTCTTTTGAAGTAATAGTACAATTTCAATAGCCATGAGAGAATTTCAAATTGGAGTGTATCTCAGCATTAGTAAAATAGACTGGATGTCAACATGACTCACCTCAGTTTTGACCATCCTAAATTATATTAGACTATTATCAGTCTATTAGTATATTATTATATCAGTCTATCAGTATATTAGACTATACCAGTCTCACTAAAATAATAATAATAATCCCTTAGTGTTATGGGATTGCTTATGTAAAAGACCTTTGCTTCCACACCACTTTTCACAGTTGACTCACTGCTATCTTTCAACGTCCTATCAATTCTTGCAATAAAAGAGTAAGACCAGATATAACTCTTCTTCACGCAATTTCTCTGTATGATTCAGTAAATCATTTACAAAGATATAATACTTGCAAGATCCCTACATAGAACAGTGCAAAAAAATACTTTGGCATTTTGTTGTCTTCATATACAAATGTTGATGTCAATACTAACAACTTCAATCTGGGTTTTTTTTGCTAAGTTTTTAGAACGGAGCCACTAGCATTTTGACATAGCATTGTCATTTTGTGAGCTTTCAGAACAAGCATTTATTTTTAGTCATCAGAGACTGTATTATCCAAAATAAATAAAATTGCTATAAAATTGCAATAAATGAAAATAAAGTCATTTGACAAAATATTGTGCATAATACCTCCAGCAAGCTGCTGCATGTAAGACTCTCCGATCATGCAAATTACTAACCAAGCATGCTTAAAAATAAGTTTGGTTCTGTTCCATCTTTTTGAGGGTTTAAAAAAGTCTTTTGGTGGTAGTTACTGGTTTTTTCTTGAAATAACGAGAAATAATTAATCTGTTCTTCTCAAATCCTTTCACCTATTTTACTATCTATAAAGTATTACCCCAAGTTGAATTCTGGAAAAGATTATTGCAAAAATATTAGAAGAATAGGAGACATTTCCAAACCTTTACACCTTTCTTTAGATTGAGGCAAACTAACTGCAACTCCAGACCTTATACAAATCTTGTTGTTTGGCTTTGGGCAATGCTATAAATGTCTGCAAAACTTGCATACCATATGGAGCTATTTACAAATGCTTATACTGAAAGCTTTTCTAAAAAGCAATTATCACCAATGATAGACTAATAGCTCTCTGTTAAATCCACCTGATAACAGGAAATGTCAACCAGCATGAACAATTTTTGAGTGCTCTCTAAAAGAGAAAAAGTAATTTCCTGAATCATGAAAACCTTAAAAATGATAATAATCTTATTATCAGGTTAGTATTCTAACCTTTACCATCCCAGGTTTTGTGACACTAGAAGCCTTTGACGTTCCATTTAATCTAGTTTACCTGCCTTGTTGAAAATAGTTGAATATACTTCCTATCATTTTCAATGCATCTGGTCTTACCTTTTTTAAAAGGTTCCAAAGAAACCTCAGTTTTCTAGCCCAAGCTATATCCTCAAACATGATTTTGGACTAAGAGGAAGCAAGCCTCTGTGCAGTGTAACTGAGCTGTTTAATATATACAGTTAAAGAGAAACAGATAAGATAACAGTATCTCAGCTTTCCCTTCTTTATTTGTGAGGAAGCACCTCAGCTTCCTCACTTCAAAAACAGTAGCAGAAACACAAGATTTTGGAAGGCATCATTCTTGCCTTCAGTGGACTTGTAATAGTCCCTTTCTTTAGCTGCACTAGCGAAAAATCCCAAATTCTGTCTGTAGAGCTGCAGTTAGACTGGAATGTGGAATACACTGTGCTAAATTACCTGCAATAAGATACCCATGCAATTACGGTTGCAAATCAGCTTAAACATTCAATGCTTTCCTTATTAGCAGAGTCTAACCATCTTAATCAGAGAACTTTATTATATTTTTAAAAAATCAGGAACATAAGAATTTGCTATTACTCAGCCATCTCTTCCACTAGGGAGTTGTTAATTCTGATGGGCAGTGGGAGGGTTGTGCATGTGTGGACAGAAACTTAAAAACATTTTGGGGGTGGGCAGCATCCAACAAAAGAAGCACTTATCACAACAGTATGACACAAGAGTTCAGCCATTAGGTAGGCATTTAACCAGGTCTTGCCCTGTTTGCAGCCACCAGTGGTAGGTCAGCTGCCATGAAGAGAAGCCACCCAACAGTGCATAGTAAGGAAGAAGTGCTTTGGAAGTCTAGGCTGGTAACAAGTTTTCTTTGCTTTCCACTTCATCTGCTTGCTGAGATTTAGTAAAGCTGGAGAGCCATGCAAGAATACAAACCAGTAACAGACGACAGAACAGACACAATGTACTGCTCCTGCACCATTTCTCAGTCCTTAAAAGACACTAAAAAGTTTGAGTATCTTATTTGATTGATCACCTCAGGATGAAGTCCTAGAGCAACTAGACTTTAAAATATACATAGAAAAATGTGAATTCCCTTCTTTAAACAGCCCACTGCTCCCACCACTAATTAGTTCCATTCAGTTCCTAAGAGCATCTACAATAGTGGATGCACTCTACAAGTATTATTGCAAGTGGAGATAAAAAGTTTATTTTTCCTGGATCTATGCAATAGTAAAGTAAACTTAAAAATAAATTAATTCCTGAAAGTGCTATGTCTCCAGAAGTCTTAACTCAGGCCCTAGCTGGAAAGGAGTTTCATCATCTCATGTTAATTTCATGTTAAGCACTGCCAGTATATAAGGTGACTATTAAAAGCTGTAAGTTACACACTCTTTACCTGCAATCCTGTTTTGCTAGTTTTGTTTAATACTGTGCTTAAAACAGTCTTCCTCACACTTACAGGACAACCCCAATCTAAATAACTAAAACTATCACATTAAAAGGCTGGACAACATGTAGTTTGCTAGTGCCTACATCAAGCCAGATGGAGGTATTTGTTCTATGTAGCAATGCGTGACTGTGTGATATGTTTTCTTTGAATTGCGTTTTTGCCTCACTATTTGGCTTCTTTGAAAGTGGTGGCTGGCATTGCTACACTAGATGATTGCAACCAGAAGCTGCATAGGGCATGCATCAGGAAAAAGGATACAACTTACCTGGACAGCCCTAACCCAAGAAAACTTATTTCTTAGTAACTACTTATTTTCAAGTAGAGGGGCTCACAGGACTTACTGAGAGTAATTCCACTGAAGTAGTTCAGTGTTAACATTCTTTTGTCACTCAGGTTCAAAAGGACAACAAAGTTAAGTTAAAACTGGTGATACAGCTGAGAAGTAAACACTGTTTATAGGGAGTCAGAAGATAAAGCAGGTAGATGACCATGTCAAGCACATACACCTACTGTGAAGGGACGAGAGAGTTCTTTTGTCCATATCCATCTCTTTTCACTATTAGAACATCCAGCAGCTGACAGTTTAGGGCATTTTTAAAAGTGACAACAGCAAGGATCAGCAAAAGCAGCAGTAAAGCTAAGACTCAATGGACTGATACATAGAAATTCAAAAGGAAGGAAATGCTGCAGCAGTATCTTATCTATCCATCAATACATACACAAACATTTTCAATGCACATCTACATCATTTGCATGTCAAACTTGCTTTCTGCTGGACCCCAGTTTGAGAGAGTCACAGAAGAGCAAGTTAGATTGTTTTGAAACAAAGGAGACAGGATTTGGCTACTAAAGCATTTATTACTAACATACAAAAATGAGTTACAAAACAATGGCTACAAAAACACACACACACACACAACACCAGGCACCTGGGTACAAACAGCATGAATCTTGCCTTTATACTGCATATTAAAAAATGTGTTAATGATAATTATTTGGTCTATCAGTGAAGAGTGTTCATGGAGCATCTAGTCGATGCTCTTAGTCATATGGTTTAGTTTTTAGGTAGTCCTGCGAGGAGCAGGAGTCAAACTTGATGATGCTTACGAGTCCATTCCAGCTTGAGATATTCTGTGATTCTGTGGTCAAGTTACTGTGTTATACAGTAATTCAATTTGAATAGTTAATGGCAACACTGTCACAGCATTTAACTCCAGCTGACTCATTCAGAAACCCCACTTTCAGCTTTGGAATTCTGCACTCAACAGAATTTTTGTCAGGAATGATGTAGCAATAGAATCTGAGATAGTCAGATGCATATTTCTCAAATGTGTGATCTGCAGCAAACATAGCATTTAAGTGTACATAGCTAGACCGTAGAGCTGTTAAATGCATTTCACAGTATGTAAGGCTTTTATATCATTCTACTAGAGATTAAGCAACAAATCAAAGGCTTTCAGCTATCGTGGCTTTCATTGTTTCATTTAGGCTAGTGGTATTAATACCACTGAAGCAGGATGAGGTGCTTGACAGACTAATAGGGCATCTTGATAACTGTCAGTTGCCCATACTTAGGCACTTGAGTCTAATTTGAATTTTTAAGAGTGGCTTAACTACACAGGACAATACAGCTCATGTGTAAGTGTCCTGGCTATAGATTCCCCTATTCCTGTATTTACAAGTTGTTCACCAAATAATGGTGAAAATGGATTTTTTTGACACTTGCACTTAGTAAGGCCACTCATTTAGTCAGTCAGCAGAGTACATGCATGCTATGCAGTTTGTTCAGTAGTGTGTTCAGGCTGTTTGTCTTTCTGGCTGGAACTTTCCTCCCCTTCACCTTTGCTTTCAGCATGCTGAATGCCAGGCAGTTGTGGGTAAAAGGGACCTACCAGCCAGTTGAGCGGTGTGTTGTTAACAAGATAATCCATCACATCATCCAGAGACTCCTTCATTTTCTTCAGCTGTCCTTTGCTAACTGCAATAAAGCTGTCTGATAATTCTTGGAAAGAAGATGCTGACCGAAAGCTCTGGTAGACATCACCTGCCATTGACCCAACACTGTAAACCTGATCCTGTACATTCTGTGGCAGCCCCTGTAGGCTTGAGACCAGTGTGAGGCAGGTGGTCTGAAGCTGCTGAGTGAGGCTCCGTGCAATAGCTAGAGTTCTTGACTCAATGTGCTAGAAAGAACAAGCACAACAGCACATTAGTGTCTTTTTATAACTGTAGCAGTTTTATGTAATTCAGGATACATAAAGAAGCAAAGTAAAGGGGAAGTAGGTGAAATAAAGCTATAGCAGACAAACCATGTTTTAAGTCTGAAGCATCAAAGATATTTCTTCAACACTCAAGTACTTTGTGACAGTAAAACAGATTCTTGTTTCAACTCTGGATAACAAGTCACAGCAGGTAAGTACACTCTAATCAATGAACAATCCTTGAAAGCTATGTATAGGACTCAGTAAGTACATCCCTAAGACTGCTGACAAATCATTATTTCTGGTCTGGACACATCACATAAATGGTTTCTAGCTAGTCTACATACAAATATCCAAACATGGTTTCATACACTAAATAGGATGAGCATTCTCAAGGTAATGGCAAATGGTTAGTTTGCGATTACCTTGATGGGATAAAATACATTTATTTCTGGTGTACATTTACATCTATTTACCTCAGCACTACGCAGATCATCACCATCATTTTGGCCTGTATTTTTCTTCCATTCTACCCAGGATTGATAAAGCTTTTCCTGAGCACCAAGAAGTTTCTTATTGGCACTATTCACGTTCTTTCTGGCATACTCGATCTGAAATACAGCCAAATAAGAGTCCAAACAGTTCCTTTAGGGTTTCTCTACCTTGACTGTTTTGTAGCCTCCTTTTAACATACTTCAGAAATTCAGTATAAAAAACTTTGGAGAGTATAAGAGTGTGTTTAGTCTCAAAGAATTGAAAACTGAAAGCAGTTTTAAGATGTTGTGTAGTGTTCCCTGCTATAGTTCCAACTATTTCCCCATACCTCACTGGCATCCTACAGGAGGAATTGAAAGTGTATAGAAGGCCATGACTCTTATGTGCAGTTTGTCATGTACATAAAGGTATTTGCTGCAAGACTACTGAAGTACCAGAAATACTCAGAGATAGAAGTAGAAAGACAGCAAGTCCCAAAAGAATTTGAAATTTGACTAATAAAAAGGATTTAAAAGACTGATGTGTTTCTAAACCTCATGACACTTTTTTCACTGAGTGAAGTATGTGTCAAAGCCAGCACTACAAAACAGGAATGAATTTAAACCTCTCACTTCTGTTTCTGCAGTGCTTGCAGTTACAGGCAATTGCTCATTAGTTCACATCTTAGCCCAATTTAGAACTCTACTGAATGGTGAAAAAAATTGCTTAATGGCAAATTCTTTGTATTTAATGTAATAATGTATTCATGGATTTAGTCAGAGAGCAATCCCAGTTTTCCTGTGACACTTTGAGCCGTTTTCTTCACTCTAAACCAAGGCCAACATATGGTTTTTATATCTCAAGTGAAAGTTTAAACTTACCAGACTAACGGTGGAGTGGAGCTGAGAGATTGTCTCCTGGCTTCTCTGTTTAGCATCTCTGACTTTGTTTAAGGCTTGTTGGTAGGCACGTGTGCGGACCTTTGAAGACAGGGATCCTAGTCTAACATAGTAGCTTGGCTTTTGGATTCCAACTTCAAAGCCTTCAACGTTTGCAGCTTCTTTCTCTAGGCATGTAGAAAGGAAGCAAACTGATCACTGGAGGAAAACTTAGGAGTTCTGAGACAATTTTATCTGCCTAGTAACAAATTATTGAGTAGTCCTTTAGCACTACGATTAGACAGAGAAATCCTTACTTTCATGCTGCTTCCTTGTGAAGATGCTGCTATTACAATCAGGAAGGCAAAAGACAATTTGCGAAACACGTGCCCCCTTCCCCACTATGAGTAAGCAATGAATGGATGATTGCTTGCTTCTCTCCCAATATAATCATTCCAATAAAACCAAACCTTCAAGTTGTCTTACCTAGTTCTGCTTCTGTCAGTGGAAGATACTGGTCTACAAGGGCCTCTGATTTTGTGAGAGCACTGTCCACACTGCTGCTCACCATTTGCACCACACGACTTCCCAGGACAGTGTTAATGCTGCCATTGACAACTGACTTGGTCATTTCTACGCTGTCTTGCACTGCTTCTTTAGTCTTGCCCACAACTCCAGTGATCGTGTGAGCAACAGATTCCTTGGCACCAGTCACAGTGGTTGTTACAGCTTCTCTGGCTCCAACAACTACATCCTTGGCATTGGCAACAACCTGCCATAGGACATACAAGGACTTACTAAAAGTATTAACTAGTGAGAGATACATAATCCAGGAAATTATATGCTAAAGCTTGTACAAATATTGGATATCTAGCAGAAAATTTGTCCTAAAAAAATTTGTACAAGAAAAAAAAAACAATATGACTGCCACACAGTTTTTGAAGTTTTCAAAAAACTTCAGTGAATGTAATCCAGGCACTTCATGCAAGAGACAAAGACTCACATTTTAAAAGACACCCACCATGAACTGCACCTACAGAGAAATTGGTGGGCAATTTAAAATAATTAAAGAAAAAAAAAGCTTAATGGTCTCTCAAAGGCAACAAACAGCTCTACAGATAAATCTTTGACTTTCTCATTGCTTCCAAGCTCTGCTTCAGGCACAGCTTTTTGAAATGTTTCTCCCTTGGGTTTTAGTGATAACAGAAAATAAAGGTTTATGGTTCTTCTGCTTAGCATACATAAATGGAAAGAACTTACCTTGTCACTGGGTTGATTCAGTATAGGCAGTCTTTCTTCAATTTTGTCTAGACCTATACAAGCATAGTTGTTGGCAACTACAACTGAAAAAGAAATTACAAGAGTTGGTTAAAATTATTTTTCCCCTAGTAAAACAACTCAAACTGAAAATTCCTCTTTAAAAAGAACTCATGCAACACCCTTGAAGCAGTATCTTCCTCTTCTCAGTGAGTATTGAGTCAGAAAAGACAAATAAAAAGGCAGATTTACAGTGCCAGAAAAAAAAAAAAATCCTCACTTGCAGGCAAAGAAAATTCATTTGATAATTTACAAGCAACTGGCAGAAGAAGCTCAAACACCTGTCTCTGCCATTCTATGAAACCAGGCTTCTGGTTACAACAGCTTTGTGACACAGCTTCCAAATTTAACCAGTTCTTAGTGCAAGAAAGCACAACAGTAGCCTCTGAAACCGGGTGAAAGGTAAGGAAGGTGTTGAGCAAGACATTGCATAATCATCTAACATATAAAAGTCATCCATCAATTTAGTATTATGAAAGCTGGAATCTGCTTTCACTCTGGATTATCACCTTATTTTTTTAAGTCTTATCAATGTGTAATCAGTTACACAACAGGTCAGGCAACAGGTTCAGTCAGGTATGCGAAATAGCATTCAAGACCAGCATGACCATGTTAAACCATAAGTGCATCTGGATAGAAAAAGCAATCACTAAAGTTATCAACAGCTTCATCTTTGCCTTACTTTGTGGTTCCAACTTCTGAATGATAGGCATAGCACTTGTCATGGCTACTGATGTAATCGTCTTCACTCCTTTCTCCGCTATCTCACATACTGACTTCAGATAAGGATAGTTATCCTTTGTGGTGATGTAAGCTGTGGACACCATATCATAGGTGGAGCTCACCAAAGGAAGGTTGGCAACCCTCGATACAATATTCTGTTTTAAAAGAGAAAGCTGTTAGTTGACTCCTATTTTCTGACCTAGACAAAAGAAATTACGGGACTAACTCAGACATACCTGCTGTGGATCAATTGCTGCCAATGCCATTTTCTCAGGTCTTGAACCTTAGCCTGTGAAAGAAGCATATACAAGTTATAGCATCATACCTACTTTATCTAAGTACCAAACTTTGAAACCAACAACCTTCTTCTGATTCACACCATTTACTGGGATCAGGATGCTCACATTCATGCATACAGGAATTATTCCATTGTAACAATTTACAAATCCAAAACTTATTTTAGGTAATGCAAGTACAGCATATGCACGACACAGGCTTTAACGTACAGCAGTTCACTGATGAATAACCAGGTGGTGGAGTAATTTTTTTCTAGAAGAATTAAGACAGACTTATCTGTTGAGCCAGGACAAACAAAAGCCAGCCTGCAAGTCACTGAAAATCTAGTTTAGAATATTCAAGTCAGACAAAGAACCCACCACCAATAGCTTTAATCAGATTAGATTCTAGAGAGCCCACCTAAGGCTCACTCTGTTCTGCTTGCTAAGTAGTTAGCATTCCTGTGAGAGCATCAGATTTCCATACTGCAGAAAATAAATCTCCTTTATGCTAATTCAGATTATTACACTTTCCCTACTAAAACAAATTGCAAACATTGGTCATTCAACAAATCTACAGTACTCAACATGCATTCCAACATGTATTCCCATGGAGAAAATACTAACAGATGTCTCTACAAGGACCCAATTCGAGGGGCAGGGTATTGCAGTAGTACAAAAGGACAACACTTGGAAGCACACTGTCATCCTATGTACACATGCAGGCTGAGCTAAATCTGCAAAAAGCACCTTTTCCATTAATGATTTCACATAATGCTGCAGTTCCAGAAGAATCTGCATTAATGAAGACAACAAAAAGGTAAACTAGGAGTCTGTCCTCAAAAAGATTGTGGTTTACAAGGTTTGCCAGGTTTGGTTTGCTAGGTTGTCAAAGAGCCAACAGCAGTTTTCTGTCTCATATGTCTGACAGCAAAAAAAGGAACATGTTAATATTCCATCTGAGGCAAAATAAAACTTTCCCCCATTACATAACCGGCAACAACGACAAAGGCATCCCGTTAACATTTTGCAGGCATATTTGCACATATTAACATACTTTATGTGCCATAAAGTAATGCCAGTAATGAGATTAACCACTGTATGTGGAACACACAAGGAAGACAAGTAACAGACAATGGTTACAGCGATAACAAATAAGTTCTCATTTAATTTAACAAGATTTTAAATAGCTGCAGGAATGTGCTAGGTTTTTCACAAAGTCAGGTCACTTGAAGTACAACTGTATTTCACCATGAACTGCAAAGCATGCTACAGGAAAAGATGCTAACGGCACAGAATCTGGCCTCCAAAGGAAGAAGGGCCGTTACTTTAAGGATTATTCAATATTTGTTGTGTGTCTCATAAGATCTAACATAGGGCATGCATTTGAATTATAGTCAATAAACCAGTCAGTTAGGAAGAAGGAAGAAGGGCCGTTACTTCAAGGATTATTCAATATTTGTTGTGTGTCTCATAAGATCTAACATAGGGCATGCATTTGAATTATAGTCAAAAAAGCAGTCAGTTAGCCTGTGAAGCTATTCCTTCCTGTGAAGTGCTCGTAAAGACAAAAAAGATAACTAGAATCTTGCAATGTTTCAGAGAACCCCCTGAATAGGTTCAGCCCTAGCAAAAGTCGGATCCATTCTCTGTAGCAGACGAGTGAGACGCCTGGAATCCAAGGTCAAGCATATTTCAGAGACAGCAGGAGTTTCTGGAGAGGAAAGCACACAGGCTACATCACAAACTTCTCTCCTACTCGCCCCTCCCTATGGAAAGAAGTGCAAGAAAGCAGCGCGACGAGCCACGCACAGCAGCCGCGGCGGCTGCCCCGGCCCGCCACGGCAGCCGAAGCAGGAAAGCGCACCACTTTCCCAAGCGCCTCCGGGAGTCGCTTCCGGGATGGGGCATTCCAACGCCGCTCCCGGGGCCGGACGAGGTTTTCGGGACTCTGTGGCCCCGGGAGCGCCTCGGCCAGCGCACCGAAGCGGGCCGGGGCGCGGGGCGCGGCGGGCGAGGCCCGCGGGCGCGGCGGCAGCGCCGCACGGGGCCGCACCCGCCGCTGCGCGCCGCCATATTGCGGAGCCGGCCCGCGGGCGGGCCGCCCGGCGCTGCCGCCGAGAGCCGCGCCGGAGCACCGCGCCGGCCGTACTCACCCGGGAGGAGGAGCCGGGCCCGCCGCCGACGGGAGCACGGGCAGGGTCTCGGGCACGGGCGCCGCCGCCGCGGAGTGGGGAGCGCCGGCCTGGCCCCGCTATTTATGGGGCGTCACCGCCGCCGCGCGTCACCGCCGGCGGGGCGGGGCCGAGCGCGGTGACCGCCGCGGCCGGGCCGGCAGCGCCGGGCTGAGGGGCGCTGGTGTGCGGCCGGGCCTGCGGGAGGCCCGTTCGCTGCGGCACAGAATCTGCTGAGTTGGAAAGGACCCACAGGGGTCACCGAGTCCAGCGGCTGGCCCTGCGCGGCGCGGCTCCAAGAGTCACACCGCGTGCCTGACAGCGCTGCCCAAACGTTTCCCGAACTCTGTCACGATGGTGCTGTGACCGCTGCCCTGGGGAGCGGGGAACTTCCCGTGTCCAGCCACCCTAGGGACAAAGAACCTTTTTATAGTATTCAACCTAAACCTCCCTGATAGCAGAGCAAAATAAGTGGAACAAACCAGAATTTTTTACTTCTTCGAAAAGATTTATTACACCTCTGCTAGCATGCGTACCAAAATTTACATATACTCTGCTCTTTTCATTACAATGTTGTCATCTGAGAGCTGTCTTTGTTTCTTTTCCCGGTCATGTGGCTTCTCAAATGTAAACCACTCAGCGTGTCCATGGCTACCACAAAATTAATTAACACCCTTTGTCATGCGTGTGTCTACTGGGAATTCTAGACCATCCCAGGGATTTAGTTACTAATAAGTAGCGCCATTATTTGTAGTACAGAAACACCCGAGACTCTCACAGCCCAGTGACATACTATGCCAGAATGCAGTAACCAGACATAGTACCAACCCCTTGGCAGTCCTTGGCAGGTTAAGAATCTAGGTTGTGGTCATGTTTTTCTTCACAACTAGGTGCCTTTCTGTATTTTATAAACTTGGAGAGGCTTTCCTGAAGTTTTGAAAATCTACAAACATGCCTCTTGAGGACATTGCCTTTCTTACACTGGCAGATGGGGAGAAGGCAGGCAGAGGAAGAGGGAGAGGATAACATTAAATCTTGGATTGACCAAATTCCTCAAATATCATAAAACAGAGAGAGCAGCAGTGTGGTCCCTGTCAAAATTGATGAAGATGAAGGCTGAAGAGCAACAAGAAAAGCAGTAGTAACAGATAACACAAAAGCATGACACACCAGCCTTTACTAAAAGACTAAGGCAATAATAGTATACCCTACCCTTCTCTTCCATGAGGCAAGGGCAGATATTTTAAGTCACATAATATACCTAAGAAGTTTCATTATTTCAATAAGTAATTCGCAGTACCTCAGCACATTCATCCATCCAAGTCCATTTAATTAACATTTTGGAAAATAAGTTCACCTATGTATCCTTAACTGCAGAAAAAAGAATTTAAGATATGAGCTAATTGATCTCAGTAAACCTCTCCTTTGTTGTGTCTCTTTTAAACTCATTATAATGATACAGAATACCTCAGGTTTCAGCCTCCTATCTCTGTAACACAGCTCTGGCAATGGTAGCAGCAATAGATAACATGGGTCCTTCAGTTTTTCTTACCATGTTATTACAGCCAAGTGGAGGAGCTCTGGAACATCAACCTTGGGGTCCAGCAGTGCTCAGGGAAGCTAGAGAGGAGAGCCTCCCTGCTGTGGCATCACTGGGGCAGGAGCTAGCAGCCCTGGGAAGCTGAAATGGCAAGATGTGGGATGCTCTAGAGAAGGTAGGGCAGGGACAGTAAGCCCTATCCATGCCATCCATGCCCTGATCAACAGTTCCAGCAGGGGAGAGGTACTTCCACTGGTCTTGAGACCATGTTATCAGCTTCTCCCTAGCAAGGTGACAGAAAGGCCAAAGGGGAGAGCAGTGCTAAGTCTGAAGGGACCTGAGTAGCGTGCTAATATTCCTTTAGGAACATGTTAATAGTCTAATATGCTCATGTAGGGCTGACTGACAGCTAGAGTGCCAGTGTATTAACAAAACATGATACAGGGATCTTCACTTGACCTCAAGCTGGTGAATGGAGGGAAATCTTGGGAATTTAAAAAATTACTAAGAGTCCTTTCAACAGATTAAAGCTACTTTTATTTAAAAGTAGTTGTGCTTGTACATTGAGATAGCTAGCCATAGCCTCTTCTCAGTCTTTAGAATGATTGTTCAAACAGTGAAGTGGTGTCATACTCCTAGCCATGTAACGAGAAATTATTCAAAAACTAGTTTGGCCTGCAGAGAGCAGAGAAGGGTGGCCCTTTGGATTTATCAACAAATTATGTCTGCTCACAGCCTTAGGAAGCTAGCAGGCTTTGAAGGACTGCTGCCAGACACAGTTTTTCAGGCTCTCAGTAGGAAGCTTGAACCACAAGAAAACTGACATTCCTTCTTTGCCTCAAGTTCTTGCCAGTAGCACCAACACTGAAGTATTCCCAGCAGTCAGGAATGCTGTAGGGACACAAAGGAAATGAAGGTGTTTATAGCTGTGAAGGATGGATGGTTCTGGGTCCATAACATAAATCATCAACTCAATTCATTACACCTATTCATCTGACCTCACAAATGTCTAATATTCAAAGAACATTTTTCTTTTACGTGTTTAGAGATGTCATGTGAGATTCAAGTGATTCTACTGAACTGGAAACCAACTTACTTGCATTGGACACCCTGAGACTGTTAGTTGTGAAATAACACAATTGTCGGAGACTATTTTCTCTCAGCTTTCTCATTGTTCCCCTTTCTTTCCAGTCTCACAGTAATTTGCTTCTAGTCTTTGTAATTCTGTCTTACACCATTCTGTTTTGGAACTTGCAACTAACTTCTTATTCACTCAAACTGTTTATTTGCCTTATTCCTTGGGTTTGGGATTAAGCCTTTTGTATGTTTCTATATGAAAAGCCTTCCCCTTGTATTGATTAATCATGACAACAGTTTTCCTGCCGTGACTCACTTAGTTTTCATGTCTCTAGAAGAGGATATCTAATTTGTGAGACCTGATTCTCCTTTTGTAAGTCCACACTAATTGCACATACAAAGAATAGCATCCTTATTCTGCTCTGCCCAGAAGTAAAGCACTGCACATTTTTTTTTCTGAATAACACAACCTACAGGTTTTCTCTATAACAAATTCATTTTTTCTAGAATGCATTTATCTTTCAGTGTGTCTTATGTTTTTTTAGCTGTCCATTACCTCTTTCCTCTTCAGCTGTAACAGAGTTACCCTGACATCTGACTCAAAATAAGTTAATTGGGTCAAACTTAGTTCTCCTCTGAATACTTGAAGAAAGGCAAAAGCAAGCAACAGTATGACCAATTACAGGCAGACAGGCACTATAAACCCACCCCACAGATGTTATGTGTTTAATCATGACAGAAGAAGGAGGAACGGGAGTAACTTGTGCTGGCTTGATAAGGACAGGGAGACGTTATACATATTTACATATTGTACAGGATTTTTTTTTTTTTTTTTTTTTTTTTTTTTTTTTTTTTTTTTTTTTTTTTTTTTTTTTTTTTTTTTTTTTTTTTTTTTTTTTTTTGTCTACAGTTCATCTATCACACTGCCAGATATCATCTAGGTTGCTAGGCAGCAACCTGTTGTTATGGTGTCATGCTCCACTTCAGAAAGATAACAGCAAGTCTTCATGTCTCACGTGACATGTAACTCCCATCAGCCCATATGTACCCGTTTACATAGTTAAACACACTTTACATACTAAAACACCCTTTACATAGTAAAACACACTAGATGAGACCATGACAGGGGTTATCAATAAAGCAGTCTATTTTAAAAAACAAATTACATCATAATAACTTACAATGAGAAAGAAAAATGTCCTTGTTTGGCAATTATCTAGGTACCATCAGTTAAACAATACATCAAGTATTGTATTTATGCCAACAAGATCCTGTAACTGTTTAACTGTATTTAATTAACAGTGAGGAGATGTAGCTATGGGTAATGATTTTATGAGTAGATACAAAATGCACAGGACAAAAATATCCAGGTCTGTTCTAGAACTAAGTAACAGTTCTAGGACTATTAATATAATTAATAAATCATTAAAATGTAACTATTAAACATAGCTATTAAAACTATAATGGCTCTAATATAAGACCTTCTCACCACAAAACCTGAGATACTTCATGTTTTTCTCCATCTAAACCATGTTCTTTTTTAATGTTTTATCAACGAGCCACTTATTAGCAACTAATAATTTCTTTTTATCTGATCTGAGAGTTTTCTTTTTTAAGTTCTAAAAGATCTAGTTCCTTACTAGATGTGTATTTATTCTTATATACTACATAAGAATCTAAGGTGAATGCACTACAAAACATCCAAGCTTTCTCTACTTACATTTCTTTTGACTTGATACAAAAACAGGAAAGCGGGCCAGACAGTTGCTGGAAACCATCAAGTTACTGACTTCCTGGGTTCTATTCTGATTTAGCTGCAAAAGATCCTGTGGCAAAAGCCTTTGGAGACAGAATTAAGTCTCAGGTTTGGCAGTGTGGAAGACATTCTTCTTTTGCTACCCAAAGAGGCTTCCAAGGAAGCCTTGCTGTTACTCTACCATGTTTGTGGAGGATACTCATGATACTCTAAGTTTTCCACAGGCTGCTCACCATAGTGTTTTTTTTATCTTGAACAAGGCCAAATGTCTTTCTCTTAGAAGCATTTTAGAATCCCTGGGTAGCACTGGAATTTATTCTCTTGACAAGATACTTGCTTTGAATATGTGCTACTGATACTGTGCTACTCATGCATGGAAATGTTCGCATGCCCTGGTTAAGGCCCACCTGGCTGTTTTGTCACAATCAATAAAAATGATGCATCATTTTTGCAGTACAGAGTTCATCAACCTGCTAAATCAAACACTATCTTATACTATTAAATCAGGCTACTAGGTGCTTGCTTTATTGTATTGTGCAATGTGTGTACACAAGATTATGTATTCTAGTCAGTGATTCAGGGGAATGAAAAGCAGCAGATCAAGGTTCAAAATCCAGTAGTAACAATGAGGGTCTCCTCAAGATTCCGCACTTGCTAAACACATGCTATTCATTTCAAATTCACCAGCTCCAGTAAGAAGCAGAGTTTAAGTATCCCATTTTATTAACAGGGG